TCTAGCGCTGGGAATCAACAAGTTGGACGTCCATTCAGAAACCCAACTATAAAGACGGTAATTATAAAGACCACAGATGGATAAATTTATAACGAAGGGAAGAAATCAGCCTAAAAAGGCTAAGAATACCCCAAATCAGAACGCCTCTCCCTCTACAGGGGATCACAGTTCCTCATCAGCAACAGAACAAGGCCTGATGGAGAAAGACTGTGTTCCATTAACAGAAGCTGGCTTTAAAAAGTGGATGATAAGAAACTTCTGGGAATTAAAAGAACGTGTTCTAACCCAATGCGAAGAAACTAAGAACTTTGAAAAAAGGTTTGACGAAATGTTAACAATAACACACAATTTAGAGAGGAATATAAGTGAATTAATGGAGCTGAAAAATACAACACGAGAACTTCGTGAACTATGCACAAGTTTTAACAGCCAAATTGATCAAGCAGAAGAAAAGATATCAGAGGTCGAAGACCAACTTCATGAAATAAAAAGACAAGATTAGAGAAAAAAGGATAAAAAAGAACGAGCAAAATCTCCCAGAAATATGGGACTATGTGAAAAGACCTAATCTACGTTTGATAGGTGTACCTGAATGTGACGAAGAGAATCAATCCAAGCTGGAAAATATGCTTCAGGATATTATTCAGGAAAACTTTCCCAACCTAGCACGGCAGGACAATATTCAACTCCAGGAAATACAGAGAACACCACAAAAATATTCCTCAAGAAGACCAACCTCAAGGCACATAATCACCAGATTCACCAGGGTTGAAATGAAAGAGAAAATACCGAGGGCAGCCAGAGAGAAAGGTTGGGTTACCCATAAAGGGAAGCCCATCAGACTCACAGCAGATCTCTCAGCAGAAACCCTACAAGCCAGAAGAGAGTGGGGGCCAATATTCAACAACCTTAAGGAAAGAACTTTCAACCCAGAATTTTACATCCAGCCAAACTAAGTTTCATAAGTGAAGGAAAAATAAAATCTTTTGTGAACAAGCAAGCACTCAGAGATTTCATCACCACCAGGCCTGCTTTACAAGAGCTTCTGAAAGAACCACTGCAAATAGAAAGGAACAACCAGTATCAGCCTTTCTAAAAAATACCAAAAAATAAAGAACATCAACATAATTAAGAAATTGCATCAACTAATGGGCAAAAAACAGCCAGCTAACATTAAATGACAGTATCAAACACACATATATTGTTATTAATTCTAAATTTAAATCGACTAAATCCCCCAATCCAAAGACACAGACGGGCAAAAAAAGCCAAGACCCATTGGTATGCTACATCCAGATCCATCTCACATGCAAGGATACACAAAGACTCAAAGGGATGGAGAAAAATTTACCAACCAAATGGAGAGCTAAAATAAATAAATAGAAAGCAGGAGTTGCAATTTTTGCTGATAAAATAGATTTCAAAGCAACAAAGATCAAAAGAAGCAAAGAAGGATATTACATAAAGATAAAAGGATCAATGTAACAAGAAGAGCTAAAGATCCTAAACATATATGCACCCAATACAGAAATACCCAGATATATAAGACTTAAAAGAGACTTGGACTCCCACACAATAATAGTGGGAGACTTCAACATCAATATTAGACAGATCAATGAGACAGAAAGTTAACATCGATATTCAGGACTTGAACTCAGATCTGGAACAAGTAGACTTAATTAACATTCATAGAACTCTCCACTTTAAATACACAAAATATACACTCTTATCAGTACTACATCACATGTATTTACAGGTTTAAATGAAATATTGGTTGGCTGCTTGTTAATTATTTTCTTCCCTCTTTTTTTTTTTTTATGTCTCTATTATTAAACACAATTACAGGCATACCCAGTTTTAGACTGCATTCTAGCCCGGGCAATAAAGCAACACCCCTGTTCTCTCTCCCTCTTCCTCTTCCTCTTTCTTCCTTTCCTTCATTCTTTTTCTTTTTTTTTTTATTCTTTTTCTTTCTTTCTCTCATTATTCCTCTAAGAAAAAAAAAGAAAAAAAGAATCCAGTTTCAGTTCAGCAAGCATCTGCTACAGAGCAGAGACGGTGGTCCCCAGCACGGAGCAAAGCCTGAGTCACAAGAATGGTGTTGAGCCCAGAGGAGCAGGAGCAGCATCCCAGGGGGCCTGTCCGGCCTGCTCCGTGAGGCCTGGTCACTCAGCCGAGCTGGGGGTCACCACCCAAAAGAGGCCCACACAAGCAGTCAGGGAAGTAGCTGAGAAGAATCTGAGGTCGGTCAGCCAGTCTACCCCATTCATTTCATGTATCAGAAACTGAACTTCAAGATGGTAAAGACCTTGGCCAAAGACACATGGTCAGACCAAACCCAACCCTTGACCTGTGAATTCGACCCTTGGCCCTTGTTTCCAGTGGAGAGGGGCTTCAGAGCAGTTGGCGAAGGCCACCAGCACTTACGTCCTCTGGCCTGGCCTCTCGCCAAGGAAATGGTCACCTGCAGTCCATCCATTCATTAGCAGCTCACTGAAGGCCCACAGGTAACCAGTGTCACACAGTGTCACAAAGAAAGGGACAGACCACGATCTACTGTGTCCAAGATGCTTTCAGCTTCTGTTCTTCAAATACCTTGCCTTAGGGTAGGAATCCTAGAAGCAGAGCCTGAGACAAGGATTCTTGTTCAGGCAGGGAGGGTGAGAATTGTCAGGGAATGGCTCTAGAGAGGGAGAGTGACCAGAAGCAGCACGGGGCAGAGAAAGAAGCCAGTGATGTCCCCCCAGGAGAGCAACTTCAGTCTGATCCCCTTGCGTGGGCAGTCATTTGCCAGGGGACAACCCCCAGGCTAGGCAGCTGTGGGCCATCAGCAGCCCACACTCAGGACAGCTGGAAAGTGGATGGGCTGGGGCACTGAAAGCATTGCAGCAGGTGTCTCCACTGTGGGCATGATGGGAAGGTGTGGCTCAGACATTAAGGAGGGCTGGGTGAGGTGGCTCACGCCTGTAATCCCACCACCTTGAGAGACTGAGGTGAGTGGACCACCTGAAGTCAGGAGTTCAAGACCAGCCTGGCCAACATGGCAAAACTCCGTCTCTACCAAAAATACAAAAATTAGCCAGATATGGTGGCGTGCACGTGTAATCCCAGCTACTCAGGAGACTGAGGTAGGAGAATCACTCAGGAGGCAGAGGTTGCAGTGAGCTGAGATAGCACCACTGCACTCCAGGCTGGCTGACAGAGTAAGACTCCATCTCAAAAACAAAAAAGGTTAAGGAGATCTTAAGGAGGGTGGAGACAGGAACCAGGGGAGGGTACCCAGACAGTGAGTGGAGGAGCCATGCTGGGTAAGCCGCCTGCTTCTGTGCCCGGGGCTGGCCCTTCCCTTGGTGTTGCCCTCCTGCACTCTGTACTCCAGGAAATTCCTATACAGCCAGGCTGGGCAGGCCGGGTCAGAAAGGGCCCCACTGTTATGTGTGCCAGTCCTGGAGGGTAGGGGTGGCAGTGGCTGGTATCTGGGCCCCAGGGAAGGCAGCAGCCTCTTGTTTCTATACCCCACGAGCTTGCCTAAGAGGAAACCCCCCTCATTGTCCTCCCTGCAATGGAGGACTCCATGGAATGTCTGAGTCAAAGGCCCTCCTTGGAGAGCAATGGCAAAGCGACCAGGTCTGACAGCAGATGCAGACTGCCTAGGATCTCGAGCTCCTGCAGTTTCTGAATGGAGTCTGGGGTGGGAATTGCAATTGTGCGTTAATACAACTCCCAGGGGACACCAACACTACTGGCCCCCCCTGCCCAATGCCACCCTGCACTACCTCCACCCGTCCCCATAGCAAGCGTGTGGGGCTTCTGCCTGGAGTCCGTCCACCTGTCTTCCTGTCTCTGGTTCCCTCTACTGAACAAAACCTTTCCGCTCTCAACACGTGGATTCCAGGCGCAGCTTAGCCCCTCGGCCCTGGGTGTGCGTGTGACCAGGCCTTTCAGAACCCTGCACTCCCCGGCCGCTGAGACGAGTCTAGTAACGGGCATTGACCTGATTCAGGGCCACAAGAATAGGACCCGCCACTGTCTCAAATCCATGAATGAAAGGACCGCATGCTGCCAGGCAGAGGGCTGAGCTGCCGGCTTCTTCGTGCCCTATGAGCCAGAGCCTGGCCGGGTCTGTGTGACCGTCAGGTCACTGCACTTTTCGTTTACACGAGCTCATCTTTTCCTTTTTTGAAATCTGAGTTGAACACAGAGCCTGACTTGCTCCCAGCATCGCCCACCCCCGATGGAGCCATGTTTCAAAGGCGCAGTCCCTGAGCTCCTTACACGCAGGACCCTCCTGGCTGACGGAGGCCATGGAAGCAGCCTGAGTTAGGCGGCGCGGCACAGGGTTGCGGTGCTGAGGGGAGCCCACCGCACTGCAGCCAGGCCTCCCACAGACAGGAAGGATGTACCTTACCCGGGTCTCACAGCCACGTGGTGGCGGGCAGAACAGAGGGCCAGGTGTCCAGAGTACTCTGTGAAAGGCAATGTGCAGTCAGGTCTCGCTGAGGGGAGACAGGAAGGGGAGCCTCTGCGCCGCGCTGTGCACCTGCATCCTTTACACACCTACTTGTTCGCTTCACATGACGCCATGAGGAAGAGGAGCAGGGAGGGCGACTAACCTCAGGAGAGGCGTGTGCCTGGCCGAGACCTCCCATTGGAGATGGACCATCATGGGGGTCCAGTCTCTGACTCCAGCACTCTTAGTGGCCCACTGCTCGGGCACTGTGGGAACCCTCTCGAAGCTTCTCGGCAAGTCTGGCCGCACCATGGGCTGGGCAGGCAACAGGGACTGCAGCCTCTATATCTGTTAGTCAGATGCAAAGAGCAGTCACTGCAGGGACCGGAAGTCAACATTAGCTCATCACTGTGTCTTTGATGTATGTCTTCTGTGCTCTTTGGCCACCAGGTAACCTTGAAGCATAATTCTTCAAGAGATGATGGAGGCAGAAATAGAGGCCACCACCCTGCTCCCCACTAAGCCCCAAATGACCACTCCTTACACCAGCTGATGTCGGGAACATTTATTCAACTCTGTCAGCTCCCGCAGGTGTCAGCAACCTGTAGAAACATCCAGTCTGGACAACCACTTCCGTGCAGTCCTGCAGACCAGGGGGTCCCTGCTGCTCCCACCACCCCAAGGAGGTAAGAGCTTGAGGCCTCCGACATCCACTTTTGACTCAGGGGAGCCAGCCCACAGCCCAGTGAAAGGCACCCTCGAGTGAGCTCACACAGCGCCTCACCACACGCACTGCCCATTACCGTCCACCCCACGAGCTCCAGTGCTTGAGGCACTAGTCAGCTGACAAGTGTTTCCTGAGACTTAGGAGCCCAGCCATGTGCTAGGCTTTGATAGGGCTCAAGAGGAAATGACAGTCCCTTGCCCTCAGGGAGCTCGCTGTCTCGTTGGGGACTCAAGACACACACAGAGACTGGAGCGTCCAGTGGCGCAACACACAGTTGGGGGTGGGAGCTCACACAGGACCTATTCCACAGGGAAGGAGGAATGTGGGCTGGGTGGTTTGGGGAAGCCAGGCCCTGTGGATCAGAAGGGCTTAGCGGAGTAGAGGAGGGGAAAGGGGCCATGTCAGAGCAATATAGGGAAGGCACAGAGGCAGGAACGAGCGCAGCACAGTGACGGGCAGAGGGGGACACAAACTGCACCATTAGCAGAGAAGGGGTGTGTGGAGGTTTCCTCTAGGTTGGCCAAGGATCAGAACCAGAGTGGAAGCTGCTGGGGCTGGGAGTACCTTCTCTTCGGATACCCCCTAAGCCTTGCGCTATCCCAGGATGAGGCATGCAGTAGGAGGTAAGAACATATGACCCAAAGTGCATCGAAGACAGCAAGACTCCAGGGCAGGAATCCACAGGCTGCCCTCAAACCACCCTGACCCAAACCCACCCCAGCCCTGGTCAGTTTCGCCTTTTTTGGGGAAGCAGGTGAGAGCTTGTGGGTTCCCCAGGAGGCAGAGGTTGTGGTGAGCTGAGATCGTGCCATTGCACTCCAGCCTGGGCAACAAGAGCATAACTCCATCTCAAAAAAAAAAAAAAAAAAAAAAGAACCGTGGATTCCAGGCTGACTGGTTCAGGTGTGAAGATGGGAGGAGTCCTTGCCCTGCTCCCAGCCTGGGCCCTGCTCCCTTCAACTGCACTGCTGCACACTCAGAGAACACACAGAAAGCTCCTTCACCGACCTCTCACCCTGCCCAGAGCTACAGCGACCAGCAGCGAGGCCCTCATCCTCTTCCTCCCCAGCCCGCTGGGCTGAACACTTGGCTAGTTGGGAGGCACCGCTGACTGGGCTTGGTTGGTGGAAGCAGGATTCTTTCTCCCTGGGACAGACTCAGACCAAACTCAAGCTCCCACAGGTGTCCACAGCAGTCCAGCTTCCCCTGAGACCACACAGTGAAATCAGAGCCCAGCAAGGAGCAAAGGGCTCCTTTGTGGAAGCCAGTGACTAGTCAGGCAGAACAAGAAACACAAAATCAGAGAAAAAAATCTAGCCGAGGGGACCTATGCCAACATCTATGGAAGGGAAATGAGGTTCCAGAAACCTAACGCATCGCTCGCTAGGTCTAGAAGGGACTGACTAAAAAGCTCCCCTCCTTGGAATTCTTTATTCCCGAACAAGGGAAGGAGGCTTGGCCAGGGGAGGGAGGGGCACTACCTGTACAGTGGCCTTGACTCAGGGCTCAATGTGTGACAGGTAACGAACAGGCAGCAGGTGAAGCCCCAGGGGCTGAGGGTCTTAGCCTGGAGTCCAGGGGTGGGTTTCATTCAGGGAGTCCAGTGGCTCCTGAAATTGCTTAGGGTTTTTGAGTCTACGTGACTTGTCTGTTTTCCTAGAGAAGGTCCATAACCTTCATCAGATTTTCCAAGGGCTTCGTGTCCCCAGAGTGCTAAGAAGCCCTGCTCAGAAAGAAAAAGGAAGCTGCAGGTTTCATTTACATCTGGCAGAAGGTTTTGCCTCTAGAACCAGGTCTGCCACAAACTTGCTGTGTCAGCTTAGACCAGTCACTTCCTGTCTCTGAACTCTAGCCAAGTGGTGGACCAGGCAGGAGCAGAGAAGCCAGCTCTCCACACAGGCATCGAACCACCACCAGTGGCAGAGAGTAGCCTGTGTCCAGGCAGCCAGGATGAGATCTGCCCCAGCTGTGGCCCCCACCAGGCCTGGGGAGTTTGTCCACCAGAGCTTGTGATCTGCCTCCAATTCCAGGCTCCAACCAGTCACCTCCACTGGTCACCACAGCGCATCTCTCCAGGAAGGTCTTCGTAGTGGTTGTGTCCTCATGCCGGGGTGCAGTGCCAGCCAGGCCCCCGTGGAACCCCATTCCTGGTCTCCATGTCCAGATGGGCCCTGCACCTATCCGTCATAAGATCCTCCCACTCTGCATCTGTCCACAGAAACAAAGACATCAGGATCAGGTGTGGTGCCATCACATGGCCCTGACCAGCCACCCCTCTGGGGCTAGGAGGGAGTGACCAGCTGGCCTACCCTGAGTCTGTCCTAGGGTTTGAATGAATCCTCTCTGTCCGCTACTAAGCACTGCAAGGATTATTAATCCCATTTACAGATGAGACACCTTGGGTTCAGGGCATTTTGGTGACTGACTCCAGGTGTCCCAAGCCCCTGTTTAATTTCTTCATCTTTGCCATCAGTGCTAGTCTGCAGCACCTGGAAGTGGTAGGCAGAGGACAAACAGCCTCTGAGGAGCCACAGCCACACAGCACTGAGGACGGGCAGGAGGGCAGTGGGGAGGGACGAGTCTCCAGCACTCAGTACAGACTGGACATGGGGAAGGCTCTGGAAGTGCAGGTCCCCGAAAGCCCCAGCTCCCTTCCTCCCAAACCACTCCCAAGGATGCCATGTCCCCTCTAAACACCCATATCACTCCTGAACCCCCTGCCCCAGCTCCTATCACATGGCCCCACATCCTCCCAGCTCCATTGCCCATGTTTTAGCAGTGGAAATAAAAGGTCCTGGGATCCAGAATCCAAAACAAAGCCCTGGCTTCCACCCATTGTACCACTGAGTACGGACTGTGGTGTAGGCAAGCTTGGCAAACCTGCTTCCTTATCTGCCAAAAGGCTGAAGAGACCCATGCCTCTGAGCACCAGCTTGGAATCAGAGGTCCTGGAGCAGAGTCCTGGCTGCCCCCTTCCTCACTGCCAGACCTTGGCCAGGCCTCTTAGCTGGGGGCCTCATGTTCTCTTGCCCAGATGACCCAAGCACCTCGAGGCTCTAGCTCTTCTCACGTCAGTCTGCCCTCACAATGCCTCTGGTTCTCCTTCTAAAGCATAAGTCTGAGATCAGAGCACTCATCTCACTAAAAATCTCGGTGTCAGCCGGGCGCGGTGGCTCATGCCTAATCCCAGCACTTTGGGAGGCCAAGGTGGGTGGATCACGAGGTCAAGAGATCAAGACCATCCTGGTCAACATGGTGAAACCCTGACTCTACTAAAAATACAAAAATTAGCTAGGCGTGGTGGCGCACGCCTGTAGACCCAGCTACTCGGGAGGCTGAGGCAGGAGAATTGCTTGAACTCAGGAGGCGGAGGTTGCAGTGAGCCAAGATCGTGCCATTGCACTCCAGCCTGGGTAACAACAGCGAAACCCCGTCTAAAAAAAAATCTCAGTATCCCGAGCCAGGTGCAGTGGCTTATGCCTGTAATCCCAGCACTTTGGGAGGCCAAGATGGGCAGATCACGAGGTTAGGAGTTTGACACCAGCCTGGCTAATATGGTGAAACTCTGTCTCTACTAAAAATACAAAAATTAGCCAGGAGTGATGGCACACCCCTGTAGTCCCAGCTACTCGGGAGGCTGAGGCAGGAGAATTGCTTGAACCCAGGAGGTGGAGGTTGCAGTGAGCCAAGATTGTGCCACTGCACTCCAGCCTGGGCGACAAGGCAAGACTCCATCTCAAAAAAGAAAAAAAAAAAAAAACTCAGTATTCTTGCCCTCCTGACCATGAAGTCTTTGTAGGGCAAACCTCCCCTTAGGACACCTGGAGTCAGTCACCAAACTATCAGGATCCCCCCGCAAAAAACACCCTTCTACACAATTGCTCTTCCTAGAACAATTTTATTTGTCCCCATGACCTGGTTCAAAGCCATCAAACTCCCCTGGGTGACACAGAGAAGCCAGTCACCCTCCTTGGTCTCATCCCAGAGCGCTTTGTAAGCTGGCCCCAACTATCATCCACATCACACACCAAGTGTGAGCAGCCGGTGACACGGCCTGCGGTCCTCATCTGTGTCTCTGGGAGAGCCCAGCGTGGGGCAGTCAGTGGCACATGGGGTGGCAGAATCCACTAAGGCTCTGTGCAACAGTGACCTCATCCTCTCTCATCCAGTAGCTGCAATTACAACCCTAACATCCCAGCGAAGAGGCGCCCCTCATCTATATCTGCACTTACAGATGAGCAAACTGAGACATGAAGTGAAATGACACTCCAGGACAGCAGAGAGTGTGTACAGGACCCAGGAGGCCTGGGGGCTGAGGTTGGGCGTGGGGATTGTGGAAAGTGGCCCTCTCCAAGTCTCCTTCAACTCTGACATTCTGGGGATGAAGATCCGGTAAGCAGCTCATTACAGTGAGACCTATAGACGGGTACCCCCACAACCCCACCTGCCCTCAAGGATCAACACCACCCCACCGCACCACCCTCAGCCCTGAGAGGGACTCTGGCCAGCCCCGCAGGTCTCACCTGCTCTAAGCCGGATGGGCCAGGGAAGGAGAACCATGGCAGGAGCCCGAAGCAGCTGAGTGCAGCCAGCTGGAGGGTCCCAAGGGAGGAACGCAAGGGGGTGGCCGGAGCCCGGGGGTGGCCCACACCTTCAAGAGCCCAAGCCAGCCGTGCCCCTCGGCCAGGATCCCATCCAGAGAGGGGGCTGCAGCCCAGGGCCATCTCCAGGGGTCGAGGAGGCAGGTGCAGGACAGGAAGCAGCCGTCGGCAGCAGGCCCTGGGCGCGTCATAGCACGCGGCCTAAGTGGGCGGTCTGGCCCTCCGGCCCGTGGCCGTGGCTGCGCTGGTGGGTCTTGAGCGAGCCCTCGCGCGCGAAGCTCTTGCCGCAGCGGGGGCAGAAGTAGGGCCGCCGCTCCCCGAAGACGCCGGGGCGGCGTGGGTGCGGCGCGGGCATGCGCGCGTGGGTGCGCTGGTGGTTGAGCAGGAAGCGCGGCTCACGGAAGCAGCGGCCGCACTGGGCGCACTGGTGCGGCTTCTCGCCGCTGTGGATGCGCTGGTGCGTGAGCAGGTTCTGCTTGAGGCTGAAGCAGCGGCCGCACTCGGGGCAGGGGAAGGGCCTCTCCCCGGTGTGCGTGCGCTGGTGCACCTCGAGGTTGTGCTTGACGCTGAAGGCCTTCCCGCACTCGGGGCACACGAAGGCGGCAGCGCGGCCCGCTCCGGCGTGCGCCTTCTGGTGCCGCACTAGGCTGGGTTGCTGCGAGAAGGTCTGGCCGCACAGCGGGCAGCTGTAGGGCTGCTCCTCCGCCGGGTGGTGGATGACCAGGCCTCGCTCGTCCCCTAGACCCTCCTCCCCGTCCCCGGCAGGGGACCCGCCCCCGGAGGACGCCAGCTCGGTCATGGGCACTTCAGCTGCAATCACCAGTCCCTAGGGAGACAGAAGCGGAGAGAGGGGTTGAGGGACCCGAGGGTTAGCCAACCCCCAGCCTGGTGGGGGACACTCGCCTCCCACAACCTCACCTTTTGCCCCGTTTTGTTCAAGCTCAAGTTCCCCTGCTGGGAATCGGTTGCCAGAGGATTGCCCTTTACTCACGGCCTATACTCCTTCCAGGCCCTTCTCAAGGGCACCTCCTCCTGGAAGCCTTCCCCAACCCTTCCACCCCAGTCTTACACCATGTGACACAACCCTGTGGCCCTCACTCATCCCGCTGCACGAGAGTCAGTCATGTCACCTTTGTCCCCCAACTCCCAGCACCTTAAGGACAGAGCTGCCTTCTTTTAACCCCAGCACCAAGCACCATGCCAGCCACACAAGACACTGGATAGATGCCGATGCGTAATATACGGGGACTCCTAGAATTTTGTTACCTTCATCTAAATATGTCTTTTCCCTCAACCAGATTCTCAAGGACAGGGGGAGGTAGGATGGTGCACCCCAAACTTGGAGAGAAGGATGGGATTATCAGTGATTTAAAGATATTTTTGCAAAGCTTCAAACAAGAAACAAAAACACAACCCTGTAAACCTGAAAGTGACCTCAGTTAAACATTAGAGGCAGCAGCTCTTTGTTTATCAAAACGAGGCATGTGTTCAAAAGGTTTCCAAGTCACTGAACCAGGGTGTGAGCTCCCAGGGGGACTGGTCTCAGCGTGATTCCTCCTGGTATCCTCACAGCAAAGCCAGGCCCAGGCCTGGGCAGCACACTCTGCCCAGCCAGCCCCCAAACGCGGCTCACTTCGTGCTGGTTCTCCTAAGATTCCTCTTAAATTGTTTCCCATTGTCCTCATAAAGGCCCCGAGAAAGGGGCAGAACAGAGTTATGGAGCCCTGCTTGAAAATGGGGAAACTGAGGCTCAGTGAGGTCAACATACTTGCCAAGGTCACAGAGCAAGGTGAGCCTGGACTAGGCCTTAAGTCTCCTCCCTCACTGTTGAAAGCTCTTTTCAATGTACTAGCTGCTCAACAACTAAACACTCCCCAAAACATACACACACACACACACCCCACTGCCACCATCCCAGGACACAGAGCCATGCATTCCAAAGGGCCACTTTTCCTGTGGGGGCCAGGAGTCTACTGCTACCACTCCCATGACCCCCCGAAAAATTGGGCTCCTGCAGGGCCCTGAGGCCCGCTTCATCCATTCTCCCCAACCCCATCAGGGAGGCCGGCTGGATGTTCCACTGGACCTCCCGGAAGGCCTCTCTTCACTTCCAGCCTCAGTCAACCTATCTGCAGAGTGGGGTCTCAGAGCCACCTCCTCTGTCTTCCCTACCCTCGAGGCCAGGGTGGAACTGACACCCTGCGGAAGGAGACAAGTCCTACTTGCAAGAGACCCCACCCACAAATCTTTCCACAGGCAGCTGCACTGACATCTGCAAAGACAGATCATCAAAGTCCCCTTGGCCAATCTCAGCCTGGCCCTGTCACTGGGCAGCCTCCTCACTCTCCCCTGCTATACCCCTGACGGAGGCCACGCCTGCACGCCGAGAGGCCCCTCGTCTCTCCCCCAAGTTCTTCCGTCCCATGCCACACTCACAGCCCAGCTGAGCCCCTGCTCCTCCGGTCTCCGGTGGCAGCTCTTTGCTCTACGGTCTGCGCTGCTCAACGCAAATACGGTAACTCTCCCGCAGCGACTCCCGCGCCCCTTCTCCCCGCCCCCATAAAGACGGCAAGCCTCCCGCGACGTTGCTCTTATCAAATAGCTGCATTAATCGGAAGAGCTGACCCCCACCCCACCCGACCCTACGCACAACCTTGCCAACTTCGGCGGCCGCAGCAACCCCAGAGAAATATGGTAAACTCTGCGTCGCAACCCCACCCCCACGAAAATACGTAGGCCTCCACCCTGCTGCCGCAACCCACCCCGCCAGGCTGCAAGCCCCAGCTACCAGAGGGAATGAATGCAGCCCACCCCCCGCGGCCGCAGCGCCCCCCGCGGAACCAAGCAATCCGGGATAAATACGTAATTAAGTCGTGGCGCTCGCACTCCCGGAAAGGACCTGCGCGGCTCCCGACAAATACGGTAGCGCGCCCGCAGTGACCCGCCCCCGAGGGTCCGCCTTCGGCCTCGGTAAATACGGTAACCTCCCGCCGCAGCCCCAGCGCGGCCCCGCGCGGACTCACATGGCGCCGCCTCCCCAGCCGTCCGTCTCCGCCGCAGCGCCGCAGTCGCCGGCGTTGCCGCAGCCGCACAGCAGCCCCGTGAGGCTGGGAGGTCTAACTCGCCGGCAGCCCGGCTGGCGGAAAAGGGGGCTGCGAGCGCTGCGCCCGCCCGGGCCGGAGCGGCGACTGTGCGGGGGCTGGTTCCGGGTCCTGAATATCCCACGGGCGGGTCTCGCCAAGCCCCTAGATCCGCCGACCCAGACATTTCCCGTTTCAGGATTTCCCGAGGCCCACATTCGGCCGTTATAGCACCATCCCTATTTCCCTAATCCCAAGGCCAGGCCCACAAACCGCCCACAGCGACCAGAAAGAAGGTCGGACGGAGGCGCTGGCCTTTCCCTGGGTGACGTGGGATGAGCGCAGGAGCCGGCGGCGGCCGGCCCTGGGCGAGGGTTTCAGGGCTGGAGGCAACAGTCAAAGGGGCCGAATCCGGGAGCTGCCCTCACTAACAGTTTTCCCAGAGTCCGCCTGACTATGTGGCCTGGGTTATATCACGAGTGACCAGAGGCAAAGGAAGAAGACATCGGGCCCCGATTGATCCCACCTCCTCAGAACGGAGGCCACAGTCAAGACATAAGATATCCCATAAAAGAGCAGCTTCTAACGTCTGGAGTAGCAGCTGGCATGAGAGGGCAGAGCCAAATTATAGCTTCCAGCTGCCATTTAATGATAATGCCCCCTACTCGGACATGACTTTGCTTTTTACAAAGCCCTTTTCCATGTATGATCTCGTGGGAACCGTCCAATAACCAGGTGCAGTCTAGCTTGTGCAGGTATTATTAATATCCCATTTTATAGGTGGGAAAATAAAATGGAAACAGAGTGGCTTCCTCCAACACCCACAGCTCTAAGTAGCAGAGCCCAGATGGGGACACGCATCGTGACCCAGCTTGCACCACTCTGGGACTGAGACCCTCAGACATAAATAGGGTGTGACAACAAGGAAATAAAAACCTGACCCCAGTGAGAAAGTGCCTGAGGGCGTACATTTGACAGACAAAGAAACGGGGGCCTGAGAGGAAAAGTGATTTTAAAAGTCACAACAGGTAGAAGAACATTAAATAGGCTTTTTTCTCTGTGGCCTCTGTGTAGCTACCAGGTGGAGAAATGAGATTCTCTCCGCAAGGCCTGGACAGGGATCCTTGCAGCAGACAGTGGATGTGGCAGTTGGGGCAGCACTGTCCCTGATGGAGGGCGTTGGGAGACACAGGCCTCCTGTTATCATGAGGGTCCCCCCCGCAGCTCTGCAGGTGCCCACTGTGCCTTCTGGAGCCTGTGAACTAAAGAATTCCAGCGGTGAGCCCTTACACTGTAAAATCAGTCCCTTCCTCCCAACACCAGGCCCGGAGGCCAGGCCTGCCTGCTTTCACAGCTCACTCGGAGGACCAGTCTGTTCCAGCAGGCCCCACTGGGCTGGCCCATGGGCTCTGGAGAAGCCACTCCTACCCCAGTCCCCACCCCATCCCTTCACTGCCCCTGGAGACACTCGCTGCTGGATGTGGGACTTGAGGAGTTCCATATCTCAAGAAAATTGGTATTTTTAAATAGAGACCACAGGAAGGGAATACTGGGAAGACAAAGAAATGAGTCCACAGGACAGATGTTGAGTTCCCCTGGATCAAGACCAGCACTCCAGGCACTGATGACCACCCCACCCGTGCCTCCACTCTCCAGCCCCTGCCATCATCTGCCAGGGCACGCAAAGTTCACCTCCTCTGCAGACGATAAGAGAAATGGGGACACTTGGTGAAGACCATGTTTCAAAAGCAAAATCAATAATATGCCTGAGGATGTTTCCCATATTTTTAGCAGCATTTTCTAGGTAAGATGAACCAAAATAGAAAGGAAAAGAACATAGCTAGGGGATGGGGGTGCACACAGACACATGCATACCACCTCAAGCCTGCCCTGCCTCAGCGGGGAAGCCAAGTCCCAGGGGCTCACAGAGGCTATTCTCTGCTCTGCCACAGTGGTTTGGGCTTCACTTCTCTAGTTTCATGCACATACACCCCTGCCCTGTCTCCCCCAAGGTCCCTCCTCACCCCATTCTTAGGTGCTGCGGTGAGCACGATAGAGTGCCAGTGTGGAAACACCTGCAAACCAGCCATGCTGCATGCTTCCTCATACAGGCAGCGCAGTGGCTGGCACAGGAATCACCACTGTCCTGACAGATCCATGTGGCAGCTGGACTCTGGACCCTAACAAAGGCCTGGACTGCCCACTACCCAGGTGTCCTGAAGAACAGCAGACCATGGCTCCTGTGTGGGTAGACAAGTAGCTCAGGTGAACCCTGTCCAGACCCTGCACTGTAGTTACCCTGAACAGGGGGACAAATAGATCACCCCCTGGGCCTCCTTAGGGCAGCTCCAGACCCTGGTCCCTGCATCCTCCGGCACCTCCTATGGGGCTGACCTACATCAATTCAAACACCCTTACACTTGCAGCAGGCCTGCTTCACACTGGAGTTGGTTAATTCTTTATGTGGGTTAAGCTAAACAAGAGAAAACTCTTTCTTTCCCTTTCCATGGGCACAATTGCTCTGCAAGTAGCCGCTCAAGTTTATTAAAACAACAATAGCTACCATTTATTGAGTGCTTGCTGCGTGCCAGGCACTATACCATAAGCTTTACATAAGTTACTTGCCCAAGGACCTGTGGTGTAAATGACAAAGCCAGAATTGAACCCCAGAACTATCTGGCTCTTGCGGGGATGGTGAGCAGAGGGAGGAGAGTGAAGGGAAAAGAAACAATGTTTCTAGCTTCTTATCAATAGGAGCATCATCCTATCACCCCCGGGGCTGTGCTGTTCAGTAGCCCTGTGAGGCTATTTAATTAAAATTGAATAAAGTTCAGTTCCTCAGCTGCACCAGCCACATTTAAATACTCAATAGCCACATGTGGCTAATGGCTATGGAATGGACAGCACAGATGTAGAGTGCTGTCATCATCAGGAAATGTTCTCTGTCAAACAGCCCGTCTAGGACACCTCCTTCAAACCCAAGCAACCCAAGAGAGGCTGTTTTCTTTTTAGCCTAAGGGATACCTAAGGGAGTTCATTCATTTCCCTCTCTCAGTGCCCCTGCCATGAGCCGGGAAGACTAGAACACACTATTTTTGACCCCAACATTCCTCCTCTTGCCAAAAGGTCAAAGATGTTTCTTTACCGAATTCAAACCATTTAAAATAATAACAAAAGGTTTCAGGGGCATCCCCCACTCCCGCCAGTTTCTCTCTGCCAAGTCCCCGAGGGGCTGCCCTCTCCCTCGGCCTGTGCTATCGTGGGGGCGCTGAGTGGCAGCTTCTGGTCACTGCAGTCTACCCTTCGCAGGCAGCTCCCCTGGGGCTGGGCAGTGGGACACCAAACCCTCCCAATGAGTTTGCTACTTAAAGCTGTGGGTGTTGGAGGAAGCCAGTCTGTTTCCATTTTATTTTCCCATCTATAAAATGGGATATTAATGAGGCTGACAGCCTTACCGAAAGACTTGAAGCTCCTGTCCCTTGCCAAAAAACAACCATTTTTCAAGAAGCTATACCATTTTTCTTAGCTCCAGCCTTGCTCCTAACAAAAAAATACAAGGATGATGCAGGCAGTTCCAGAAGCCCCAACACCACCAAGCTCACCTGGCTCCACATGCCAGCCACTGCACCGCCCGAACGAAGCAGCATGGCTGCGTCTGCAGGATGTTTCCACATCTGTGGCCACGTGGCCACAGATCCCCACTGCAGAGCTGCACTTACCAGGCCTTGGACAGGATTCAAAGGTCTGCACTTACCTGGCCATAGACCCCATAGAAATCTTTAAAGTCTCGATTTACTTATGGCTGTTTTCTGTTCCCTTTACATGCTCCAGAGTATTTTGGATTATAAACCACTAGGATAACAAATCTGACTGTCTTGTCTTGGACTTAATGACAGTGTCTCTTCCTAAACATTCTCTGACCCAGGTTTTTCATTTTTAAATGAAAGAAAATGAAAACAGGTTGACAGTGCCACCCCATCCTTGCAGAAGGCTGCGATGTGACCGTAGAAGCAGCTTGGGCTAACAGGAGGCCTGAGATCTGCTGTCAATTTGAAACAGGACCTCGTGGACAAGTCACACTATCCCCACTCCCACCCTCCTTTCCCATGTGTTACTGCCCTGCCTGACTCATGGTGAGATTAAATGAGATAATGAATTAGAAAGCCTTGCTAAGAGAGCTGGAGATGGGAACCATTTTTTTAAAGAGTTGAACATATAGATGGTCCCAAGCCCATCTATATGTGCATCAAAATGATTTTCCATGAAAGTCCTTGAGCTTCTCAAAAGTAGGGGTTGTCTTGGGCAGCATCCCAGCATGATGCCTGGCCCACAGCAGGCTTGTAGTGAATCAATGCCAGGCAGACCCGACCTGGTCAGTGGGTCATACATTCTTTGCTCTGAGGGATTTGACCGTGTTCCCTTGGTGACCCAAAGCACCCATGTGTGGGAGTCTCAGTTATCTGGGGTCAGCGAGCAGATTCTCATGAATTGATGCTGGAGAAAAAAGCTGCAATTAGGCCTCATTTTTTAACCCCAAGTCCTACCAGCACAGCTATTTGACTGATTTGATCGTGAAACAGGCCACTTACGGAAAATAACACATTCTGTTGTAAAGATGCTCCTGCAGGACTGATCTCGTCAGCATCTGCCAGCCCTGCACCCTCAGGCACCTGAATCACAGGACTCAGTGTTTCCACAGATCTGTCCTTGCAGGCGGTGTCTCTCTAACCCAGGAATGAAAGATGAGACGCAGTGAGGCCTAAAGTGGTTGGGCTTGCTCAACTTGATTTCAGAACGTGGCAAAGGCACTTGGCACTCCCTGGGGCAGTGCAGGGTGGAACAGCAGTTCCAGGAGAGTAGCAGGAGTCAGGGGAGCACCTAGGGCTGGTGTCCGGTGGAGAGTGCCCAGGAAAACCCTTCTGGTTTGGTTTCCTGTGGTCCTGAGCACTGAATGCTCAAGTAGGTGGTAGCAACCCTGGCTCACATCACCCCATGTGATTGCACACTGCATGGTTTGTAATCAAAGAACTGGACCAGGACACAGCAGCCCCACTGAGTGGTAACCATCATCAGCACTGTTACCCGGGTTAGCTGTATCAGTCAGGGCGGTCCTCCTTCTCCACCCATCACCTTCAGATGTCCTTCTGCAGATCTACAACTGGAGCTTTTTCCAGATACAGAGGAGTAAAGAACAGTGACCAGAAGCCAGGCTGAACCGCAAAAGCTCCCAGAAGGTAACACTTCTCTGCATATAGAGAAGGATCTGGGCCTGGGAGAAGTGGGCAAGAACATGTCTTCCTTCTTCAGAGCCACGTTGGGGTCCTTTCTTCCTCCTACCTCCCAGCTACCCAACCCTGGCACCCCAACACCCATCTCTCCACCCTCTCCAGTTCCCTCCTCTCCTCAGGGAAGATATCATTGAGGTCACAGCCTAGCCTGGAGCCCTGGGTTCTTCAGCACCAGGGACGCAGCCAACCCCGCTTTGGAAGGGCATGGCAGGTGCCCTCTTAGGGGCAGGAGGCTGAGGAGCATATGTGGGAAGAGACACTAAATTGACTTGAAGGAGAGGGAAAGAGAGAAAACACCCCCAGCAAGAACTGGGCATGGGGAGTGTGTGCTCCTAGCCTGGGGCAAATGGATCTCTGAGCACACACAGACCCAGGCTTCAGCGAAGGTGGTTCGGAAAGGACAGTGAGACCATACGGAATATTCCGTCCATGTTCTCTTCTACAACGCCAGACTGATAAGGATCCAAGACAGTCAAGTCAGCCAGCCCACTTCAGACATGCCCCAGACAGGAGTAGGAGCAGCGTGCTTGGCTCTCTCCTGCACAGCTACCTCCTCAGGCAGCCAAGCCTCAGTGGAGCCCACCCTGCTCTTGCCCGTCTGACCATTACAAACATACCAGTGAGAAAGACACCAAACCACTCACTCCTTCCAAAAATATTTATTGGATGCCTATGACGTGCCAGCACTGGCCCTGGTGCTGGGAATATGCTTGGCTCTCCCTTGCCACGACCTCTGGCTTCCATCCTTGGTATCACCTAGTCTGTGGCGATTCTCCCACAGGGGCAACCCCCGGCCATCCTGCAGTCTGGGTGGGGTGGTGCCACAGCTGACCAGTCCAGACCCGGGCCACTTCACACCAGGATCCTCTCCCAGTGTCCCCAACAGACCCCTCACTCGGTGCTTGAAGCCTGAGGTCCAACCTCTGAAGAGGGTGGTCACATCCAGGCCTGCGGTGGGAAACTCGGATCTTCCCTCCTCCTTCAACCCACGCTGGGACCTTTCCCGGCACCCTTTGGGATGCTTCTGGAACTGTTCTCAGGTCTTGAGAGCTTTGAGGAATTCACTAGTCCCGCTGTGGCATCCCCCGCCACCACCACAAGCACGGGTCCGCGGGGGTCCCGCCCACTAGCGTGCCTCTTCCTTGGCGCTGGGCGCAGGGGCCGCGCGGTGCACGCGCTGGTGCTTGACCAGGTGCTGCTTCTGGCTGAAGCCGCGGCCGCAGGCGGGACACAGATAGGGCCGCTCGCCCGTGTGGTTACGCCGGTGCCGCGTCAGGTTGGGCTTCTGGCTGAAGCGGCGGCCGCACTCGGGGCACGGGTAGGGCCGCTCGCCTGTGTGGATGCGCTGGTGGATGGTGAGCGCCGACCACCACGAGAAGCTCTTGCCGCACTCGTTGCAGATGAACTGGCGCGGCTCGCCAGGCCCGGCCAGGCCTGCGCGTCCCCGGCCCCACAGTGCGTCCCGGGCCCCCGGGGGCCGTTGGGGGCTCCGCGGCCGCGCGGCCAAGCCCGGGATGACCTCGGCTTGAGGCTGGTCGCCCGATTCGCCGGCTGGGACGGCGGGCTGGGCAGCGGCATGGGCGCGCTGGTGGGCGCGCAGCGCGGCACGGCTGCGGCAGCTCTTACCGCAGCTGGGGCAGGGCGCTGCCTGGGCGCCCGGCAGGTGCGTGCGCAGGTGCTTGAGCAGGTGCTGCTTCTGGCGGAAGCCGCGGCCGCAGTGCGGGCAGGGGTGCGGGCGCTCGCCCGTGTGGTTGCGCAGGTGCCGCGTCAGGTTGGGCTTCTGGCTGAAGCAGCGGCCGCACTCTGGGCACGCATAAGGCCGCTCCCCCGTGTGGATGCGCTGGTGGATGTTCAGCGACGACCACCAGGTGAAGCTCTTGCCACACTCGTTGCAGATGAACTGGCGCGGCTCGCCCGGCCCCGAGGGGCGGGAGACGGCGGTCCGGGCCCCGGGCTGGCCCCACCAGCCCTGGCAGAGTCCTAGCCAGGCCCACTCGGGGAGCCCCCGCGGCGGCCCAGGCCGCAGGCGACAGGCCCGGCGCGACGCCGCATCCCGGAGCAGCTCGTGCAGGCCGGCGCTGGCACCCTGGCGGTCCCGGGCGTGCGCGCGCTGGTGGATGCGGAGGCCCACCTGGTGGCGGAAGCAGCGCTCGCACTCGGGGCAGGAGTGGGTGGCCGGCCGGGAGTGGGTCTTCTGGTGCTTGAGCAGGTGCTGCTTCTGGCTGAAGCGCCGCGTGCACTCGGGGCAGCAGAAGGGCCGCTCGCCCGTGTGGTGCCGCTGGTGGCGCGCCAGGTTTGGCTTCTGGCTGAAGCTCTTGCCGCACTTGCCACAGAGGTACGGCTTCTCCCCGGTGTGGGTGCGCTGGTGGATCTTCAGGGACGACCACCAGCTGAACCTCTTCCCGCAGTCTAGGCACACGAAATGACCCTCACTGGCGGAAAGCGCCAGGCTCAGGGGGCCAGAGGCTGCCCCGGGAGCCCGGCCTGCCAGCCCCGCATCCTGCTCAGCGGGAGGGGCCCACCTGGGACTCCCAGACTCCTCCTGTGCCCCTAGGGCTCGAGACCACCCCAAGGTCTGGCGTGGAGGGAGGCCCGGGTGCTGCTGGAAGATGTTCTCCTTGTCCTTCTCCGCAAGCATGGCCTGCGGCACCAGCGTCTGCAGCAGCCGCTCCGGCTTCTCCTGCTTGACCTTCATCACCAGCCCGGCTCCTGCCAGAGGCAAGCGGGAGAGAGGTCACCACTGCTCCGCGTGCTTGTCGCATGGAGAGAAGGAGCAAAAGAGAGAGGGAAGGGGTGCAGGAGGGCAGAGAAGGGATGAAAAGCGGGCATGACAAAAGGCAGAAGGAAAAGATTTTTAAACGAACAGAAGAAAACAGGGTCAAGAGAAGAAAAAAGGGTAGAGCAGGCAGAAAGGACAAGGGCAGGTTAAGATATGGGAAGAAGTGAAGGAGAAAAATACAAGAAAGAAACCATAAGTGAATCACTTGGCTGCCGAGGCCACAGGATCCCCAAGGCACAGGCTGCTCTGCCTTCTCCACCCTGAGGCCCAGGAGATGCAGGGAAGGTTAAAGAAACCAATCCAGTGAAATTTGCTGGCCCAGTGGACAGGGAGAAAGTGGCCAAGCTGCAAAATATACCATTCTTTTTCTAAGAGGATCGACGTGCTTTCTAAGTAAAGGCATGCCCACTCCCTCAGTGGTCAGAGAGACCAAACCCTGGGTCACTGCAGCACAGTCCATACTGGCGGGTCCCCTGCTCCAAGGCAGAAGCCATCGTGGCAGAACGCTTCACCTGCTGGGATCTTGGCTGTTTGGCAACTTGGCTTCCTTCAACAAAACCAAGGACAAGAAAGTAGGCCGGAAAGGCTACAGCACCCAAAAGAGGTGTTGCCTCACCTAACCCACTTTACTCATGAGCATCCCATACCTACTGACCCCAGCCCACACCTTGTGCCATACACACGTCTACAGAGGCACTTTGTTTTCCCAGCTCACAGAATAGAAGCCATAATAGAAACCATCTGCCACAGACACTAAAGAATGCATACTGTGTGATTCCATTTATGTGAAGAGGAGAAGCTGGCAAAACGAACCCATGAGTTAGATGTCAGGATAATGGCCCTATTACAGAGGGCACTGTGGGTGGAAGGCAGCATGGGGTCCGAGGTTCTGGTCATGTTTTCCATTGATGTGGGTGCTGGTTACAGGGGAATGTTTGCTTTATAAGAATTTATAGAGCCTGTGATCTATGCACCTTTCCAAAAACGTTCACATGCAATAAAAAGTAGGTGGAATAAAACAGCTGTGAACAAAGAAAAGAGAAAAATCTTTAAACAGATGTCAACATTACAAAGACAACAAAATAAACCCAAAGGAAGAAGAAGAAGGGTACTAATAAAGATACAAACAGATTATAGATAAGGGACATGTAGCTGCAAAAAGGATTCTGAAAATCCCCAAATACTGTATATGGACTTTATATACATAAATTTGAAAACCTATATAAAATAGAAAATTTTACATGAAAATGTAAATTAAAACTGTCCCAAGAATAGGTAGAAAATCTGACTACATCAACAACTAAAAGAAATGAGAAGAACATGTCGGTCTACCTCAAAAATGAGTGACAGGCCATATAACTGTACAAACAGGTGCCGCTAAAACCTCAAGGGAAGGACTATTTCTGCCTTATATAAACAATTGCCCTGAATAGGAGCAAAGGGAAAGAGAAGTCTACAAGGTTGGCGTAACTCCAGCATCAAAACAAGAATGGAGGTGGGCAAAAGGTTTATTGTTTTTTGAACACAGACACAAACACAAAGCAAGTTCAGTAGTATTAAAACAATAACACACCCTAACCTTGCTGAGATTTTCCCCAGGAAAGCAAAGATGGCCCAATACAATTTATAACATTACCTCATTAATAGTGAAAAAACTCACAATAGATGTAAAAAAGTCTTATGATAAAATTCAATATTATTTCTGGAGGGAGGGATCAAAGGAAGGAGAAGGTAGGGAAGGAGGAAGAAGGAAGGGAGGGAGGGAGAGAGAGAAGAAATCTCCTAGCAAACTAAGAATAGAGAAACGAAGTGCACAAAGAATGTACTCTAGAAATTACAGCAAACATTATAACCAAAGCAAAAGATTAGAAGCCCATTACAGTTAGCAACAAAATGCGATGCTCACCATCCCTAAAATCAGTCAGCTATCCTTGACGAACTAGCCAAGACATAGGGGAAAACAAAGAGAAACGCATGAACATTGGAGAGGAGAGGAAGCTGCCATTTGCTTATGATTATTAACCACCTGGAATGTGCAAGGTAATCCACTGATAAATATAAAGAAGAGCTCAGCAACATTGCCCAGTACAAAAACATACAAAAATAATATTTTAAAAGACAGCAATACAAGTAACTAGGAATATACCTAATAAACATGCAAAACTTATATAAAGAAAACTATTAAACCTTACTAAAGAGATAAAACTAAATAAAAGGACCAATGCACCACATTCTTAGATGAGGAGCCAAAGATGTTCTTCACTCTGAAATAACGTTGAAATTGTGTCATCCGATTTAAGTAAATTTTAAAATGTATCATGTATACAAATTGCCCAGAAAAATCCTAAAAATGAACAAAGAAGAATTTGGCTTATATGACATTAAAAGCAAAAATGCTACCACTGTACACATATGAATGGCTAGAATCGGCTGGGAGTGGTGGCTCACGCCTGTAATCCCAGCACTTTGGGAGGCCAAGGCGGGTGGATCAACTGAGGTCAGGAGTACGAAACCAGCAGGGCCAACAGGGTGAAACCCCATCTCTACTAAAAATACAAAAAATTAGCTAGGCATGGTGGCAGGCACCTGTAATCCCAGCTACTGGAAGGCTGAGGCAGGAGAATCGCTTAAACCTAGGAGGGGTAGGTTGCAGCAAGCCAAGATCACAGCATTGCACTCTAGACTAGGCAACAAGAGCAAAACTCTGTCTCAAAAAAAAAAAAAAGAGTGAGTGGCTAGAATCCAGACGGCTGGCATGTGCACACAGTGAGGCTGAGCAGCAACGGGGCTCTTGCCTTGCTGGTGGAAATGCGAAGTGGTGCCACCACCTCTGGAAGGCGGTTCAGCAGTTTCTTACAAAGCTAAATACAGGCTTGCCATCCAATCCAGCAGTCACTCGACTAGGTATTTACCCAAAAGAGTTGAAAACCTTTACCCAAAAGAGTTGAAAACCTTTATCACAAAAAAACCACACATGGATTTTTATAGCTTTATTCCCAACTGCCAGAACTTGGCAGCAAACAAGATGTCCTTCAGTGGGTGAATGGATAACCAACTCTGCATGATGGAATATTAGTCAGTCATAAAAAAAAATAAGCTATGAAGTCACAAAAAGCCATGGAAGTACCTCACATGCAAACTTCTGGGTGAAAGATACCAACGTAAAAGGCTACACACCGTATGAATCCAACTATATGACATTCTGAAAAGGGCAAAACTACAGAGATAACTGAAGGTGGTTGCCAGGAGGTGGGGGGTAGGGGGAGATAAGTAGGTGAAGCACAGGGATTTGGGGGGCAGTGAAATATTCTGTATGATACTGTAATAGTGATACCGGACATTATGACTTTGTCAAAACCCAGATAAGGTACAAGACCAAGAGAGAACCCTAATGTCAATTATAGACTTTAGGTAATAAAAATGTATCTATATTGGTTCATCAATTATAGCAAATGTACCACATGAATGCAAAATGTTAATAATAAAAGAAACTGGAGCTGAGGTATAGGGGAACTCTGCTTTCTTCACAATTTTTCTGTAAACCTAAAACTGCTGTAAAATATAAAGTAATCCCAGCACTTTGGGAGCCTAAGGTAGGAGGACCGTTTGCCCAGGAGTTGAAGACCAGCCTAAGCAAGAAGATCAACACCCTGTCTGTATAAAATAGTTTTTTTAATTAGCTGGGTGTGGTGGTGCACACCTGCAGTCCCAGCTACTCTGGAGGCTGAGGCTGAGGTGGGAGGATTGCTTAAGCCCACTACATTCTAGGCTAGGTTAGAGAGTGTGGCTGTGGGGGGAGAGAGAGAGAGAGAGAGAGAGAGAGAGAGAGGGAAAGAGAGAGAGAGAGATCCATTTGGGGAAAAAAAGAAAATAAAACCCAACTCTTAACTGACAGAGTTGTTATTGTTATTGGCATGGCTGTTCCATGGTGGGCCTGGTGACATAAGGCTACAAGTCAGATTCCCTTTCACAAAATAGATAAATACATAAATAAAAGTAAAAAAGCTAAATACAATTATTACAATAATGTAGAGTACACATAATGGACAGATAAGCCAATGGAACAGAATCATTTGAAACATGATACAAGAGACATTTCAAGCCAATGGAAAAAGGCTATTCATCAACTTAGAACCAACTCTCTCTTTGGGGAAAATATTTAAGTTAGATTCCTAGTGCAGACTGTTTATAAAAATCTGTTCCAGATGGACTTAAGCACCAGTTTTAAAAAAGAAAATGGAAGTATTAGAAGAATTAAGAGAATTTGCTTAGAATCTAGAGGTAATTAAAAGCCCTCTTAAGAAACAAAAGATAAAAACTAAATTTAAAACATCTGTATGACAAAAGATACTAAAAACATAAGTCCAACAGAAATGGGAATTTAGGCCAGGTGCAGTGGCTCACGCCAGTAATCCCAACACTTTGAGAGGCCAAAGCGGGAGGATCACCTGAGGTCAGGAGTTCAAGACCAGCCTGGCCAACATGGTGAAACCCTGTCTCTACTAAAAATACAAAAGAATTAGCCAGGCATGGTGGCGCATGCCTGCAATCCCAGCTACTCAGGAGGCTGAGGTAGGAAAATCACTTGAACTAGGGTGGCAGAGGTTGCAGTGAGCCAACATCACACCATTAATATCCAGCCTGGGCAACAAAAGCAAAAACAAGAAAAGAAGGGGAGGGGAGAGGAGAGAAGAGAAGGGGAGGGGAGGGCAGGGGAGGGGAAGGGAGGGGAGGGGAGGGGAGATTTAGAGTGAATTTAGAGCAGCATTTTCCCATAGAACTTTCTGCAATAGTGGACAACGGTTTAATCTGAGCTCTTGAGCCACCTAAGGTTACTGAACACTTGAAATATGACTAGTACAATTAAGAAATGACATTTTTAATTGTATTTAAGAAATTAATTTTTATTTATTTATTTTTGAGACAGAGTCTCTCTCAGTCACCCAGGCTGGAATACAGTGGCACCATCTCAGCTCACTGCAGCCTCTGCCTCCGGGGTTCAAGTAATTCTCCTGCCTCAGCCTCACGAGTAGCTGGAATTATAGGCACCTGCCTCCACGCCCAGCTAATTTTGTATTTTTAGTAGAGATGAGGTTTCACCATGTTGGCCAGGCTGGTCTCGAACTCCTAACCTCAGGTGATCCTCCCACCTCAGCCTCCCAAAGTGCTGGGATAACAGGCATGAGCCACCTTACCTGGCTGTACTTTAATTTAAACCTAAACTTAAAGTAGAAGAGTCCTATGTGGCTAGGCCACATGCTAGACAGTGCAGGTCTAGGAAAAAATATGTGCAGATATAGAATAGGCAAACGCTTAGTATCCAGACTATAAAACAGACTCCTATACATATGATAAAAAGAGGTTCAACCCCACTAGTCATCAACAAAATGCAAACTAGAAGTATAGCATCTTTCAACCCCCCATACAAGCAAAAATTTTAAAAATCAATAATATCTCTACAATATGTGTGGATACTACACAGGAGAACAGGTATACACATGGGTATTCTGAGAGCATAAACTGAGGCAGAATTTTTGAAGAACAATCTGACAGTGTTTATTAAAGTTAGAAGTGTAGAGAGCCTTCTGGGCCTTTCCAGCCAGCAATTCCATTCCACATGTTCACCTAAGAAATATTGACATATGAGTGTAAAGAGGAATGGTCCAAGAATGTTCACTGAAGTGCTCTTTGTAATTAGCACACAATGGAAAATAATTTAATTATCCTAAAAATAGTTTTAAGAAAAGGATCACTCCCTTCGTAATAAGGAATATTATGCATCAAATAAAAAGAATGGAAAAGAACTATGTATGCCAATATGAAAAGATTCTCAACACATTTTAAGAGGAAACAAAAATAAACTGAAAAACTGTGTGAATCATCTGATTAAATTTATTAAAAATTTTATGTCTATAGAGACATAGGTATATAGACATGCATGATGCAGGATGAGTCACACCAATCCAAGACCGATGGTTGTGCCGTGTCCATCAGGTGGCTGATGGCTGGTCCCCCCTCAGCCCTCCCAGCCAGAAAGATGACTATAGGCCAGAAAGCCCGAGGATGCCTGGACAGTGCTGTCACACCCACCTGCCGAAGGGCACCTGGCGGACATAAATGACTGGGTTGGGCAGGGTGCTGAGCCCAGCACTGGTGTCCCTGGAGGCCCTGGAGTTGAAGTGGAGTGTGCTGAAGCTCCAGCAGCCCCAGGCACACTCCCGTTTTTTGAGCTCCCGTAGCCTCTGTCATGTTCCATTCTTTGACATGGCTGTCCCAGCCCTGATCCCCCCCTGAAATTCTGCATCAATGGGACATACCAGTTACTGGCTGAAGGCACTGCCTCATGCCTGCTTCAGAAAAGACAAAGGCACGCAGCCTGAGCAGAGGAGACCCTGGCTCCATATGAGAAGCGCAGGCCACTGGCCACCCATGGAGAGTCCTGAAATAACGGCTCCACTCCCCAGTCATCATGAAAAGGATCATGTTTTAGGTTTTAATCGTTCAGATAAAATTAAAAGGTGCAAAATACAGATTATTGCTTAATGAGTGCAGTTTCCCAGGTGATGAAAATGTTCTGGAAATAGATGGCGGTGATGGCTATACAACACTGTGAATGTACTGAGGCCACTGAATCATACACTTAAAAATGGTTACAATGGTAAATGTTCTGTTATGTATATTTTGCCACAATAAAAAAAACACAAATAAAAATTAAAAGTTGCTTAAAAGAGGTAAGCTGTCAATTGCCTGAAAAATGGGGACCTCCAGATGAGTGGTTCCCTTAGTCTAGCCAGAGGCCAGTCCCATGTGCCTCCATGTCTCCAGGAGTCTCGGCTGAAGAGTTTTTCACACTCTTCCCCAAAACCACAGGGTTCCCCAGAAGCTGCCACAGGGAGGAGAGAGGGACCCAGCAGACCCCACAGCTGACATCAACCAGAGCTACCTCACAGTAACTCGGGATCCTAGGTATGAGTCTATCTGGGGAAAGCACCTCTGTAACATGCTGCGCACGTGCGCTCTAGGTTCCACTGGAATTTCCAAAACACACACGCAGCTAGAGTGCTTCTGCCACCCCCCTGGCTCCTTGGACGGGGGTGCAGCTACACGACTAGGCTCCCTGAGGGTATGTGTCCACACACCACACGCCATGCTTTGCACTGGCCACTCTTCTCTTTCACCCCGCTGCCTGGTTTTTGTCTCAGTTTTGGGTCTGCTGATATGATTTTCCTGAGAGGGGAGGCGGCTCTTCCCCAGCGGCAATGAGGCAGCGGCCATGGGGTCTATGGGGCAACTCCCCTGGGAGGGGAGAGGGAGGTAAAGAAACCTGAATCACACTGTGCTGAAGGTCGGACTCCCAAGGGTGCTGGGCGTGCTCTGGACTCAATTCCACCGAGGGGCCTAGAGACCTTCTGCAGCCGGGCCATGGGCCACATGCCACATGCGCCAGGCGCACTAGGAAGGGCTGCAAGTGCTGCTCCCGGACGCCAGGGGCTGCTCCACCCCAGGCTCAGGGATGCTGGGCAGGGGCTCCAGCCAAGAGCACATGATCATGCGGGAAACTGTCCACAGGCAGCCAGTATTTCATCACAACCAGCTCTAAGCGGCTTAGCCAATAAGGACCCTGAACTTTGAGTGACCCCAGAAAGCGTTGGTGGACTGAACTGAAGACAGTGTCCTGATGGATGAGCCATGGGGTTTATTCCAACCAACTGTTCTACCTAGAGTGCTAGTTTTCCATGTGAAAAATGGAATTAATTAATTAATATGACCCCACAAACTCCCTATTCCAGCACATAAATAACCCTCCGTTTCCTCAAGGCATGGGTGCGCATGTGTCCCCTTGCCAAACAAGTTAAGGCACCAGGCTTTGCCGTTTTTGAGCTCCCATAGCCTCTGTCACTGTTCCATTCTTTGACATGCCTGTTCAAGCCCTGGTCCCCACCCTGAAATTCTGCATCAGTGGGATGTACTAGCTACTGCTGAAGGCACTGGCTCGCACCCGGCTTCAGAAAAGGTAAAGGCACACGGCCTGGGCGGAGGGAACCCCTGCTGCCCTGCCTCCTCCCTTCTCTCTTACCTGTGCCGTCGCCAGCCAGGCCACTCTCCATCCCTGGAGGCCTCCAAGCATCAGCGCCGGCTGCGTCCCTTCCCTGCCATCTGTCAGAAAGAAAAGCAGAAGAAAGAGAATGTGCCTGTGGGACAAGGACAAAACTCAGGGTCCCCAGCCCCCCTCCCATCCCAGAGAACACTCTCTTGTCCAAAGAACTTTGCTATCCATGGCCACATTGGAAATGGGCAGGGCTCTTTATGTTTGCATACCTGCTGAGAGCCATAATTCCTATTTTACCAAAGAGGAAACTGAAGCCACAGAGGGCCCCTGATGTGCCCCGTGTCATGGAGGTGATGAATGGCAGAGCTGGACAAAAATCCAGGTCTAACTCCCACACCAGAGCCTCACACCCTACACCCTCAACATCCACAGGGCAGCAACTGATGGACACCACACCTGAGAAGCAGGAGCCTCAGGTAAGGTTAGAGACATGTCTGTGATGCCACGGTCAGGAATGCACCTGGAGGGCAGACGGCCCTACATGTTTCCTCCGTCACCGCCCCCCCTTTCAAATCCCCCATCCATGTTCTAGCACAAACCCTTCCAGAGAGCTTGGGGGCCAGCGTCTCCATACAAGAGCCCATGCCCAGTTCACTGAACTAGGATTCATCTTTTTTTGTTTTTATGCCCAAGTCTTCTGAGCTTTTCCTGACATGCCTGGAATATGAGCGGGATTGATCACACTGCTACGTGGATGCCGCAGGCCTTTGCCCTGGCTGTCCCCTTGTCCCAGATCCCCGTCTGGCTCACTGACTAACCCCCTTGCTTCTGTCAGCTCCTAGCTTAAATGTCCCCTTCTCAGAGGGGGCATCCCTGGCACTTCTTCTTCTTCTTCTTTGAGATGGGATCTTGCTCTGTCGCCAGGCTGGAGTGCAGTGGCACAATCTTGGCTTACTGCAACCTCCACCTCCTGGGTTCAAGTGATTCTCCTGCCTCAGCTTCCCACATAGCTGGGACTACAGGCGTGTGCCACCACACCTAGCTAATTTTTGTATTTTTAGTAGAGACGGGTTTCACCGTATTGGCCAGGCTGATCTCAAACTCCTGACCTTGTGATCCACCCACCTCGGCCTCCCAAAGTGCTGGGATTACAGGCGTGAGCCACTGCGCCCGGCCCCTGGCTCACTAGCCTAACCACCTCCCATTTCCTCTCGAAAATTTTTGCCACCCGACATGATCTTGTCTGTTCCCCACCACGGCAAGGCCAGGAGCTCTTCACGCTTGCCGCCGGATCCCCAGGGCCCAGAGCAGAGCCGGGCACTCAGAAGGCCAGTAACAAACATGGGTGGCAGGAGTATGATGCCCCGACTGGCCAGGAGCTTGCAGCCTGAAGATTCAGCTTGTCCTCACTGGGGGTGCCCATCTCCTAAGGACAAGGGTGTGGTCCCACGCGCCTGTACCCCCTAGCAGAGCAAAAACATAGCTGCCCACGGAGGTGCACAGCTCACACTTCCTGCTGCCTCAAGGGAGGGGCTCTTCCAGGTTTTAGTCAGCCCGTCCTCCCAGGTACCATGGCTTGGCCACCCTCGCAGAAACACCCACCCCAGGCACTGAGAGCCTCGCAGAGACCCAGCCTCCCTCTCCCACATCTCCTTCAGAGCACAGACACTGGGAGCACACACACAGACTGGGAATCTGGACCCTCACAAGAGAGGTAGGGAAAGAGTGAATATGAATCTAGAAAACACAAAAAATCATTTTCCTGGTGCAAAGAGGGGAAGAGAAGAAACACCCTCCTTTTCCAGAGCATTTTGTTTAGAAACTTCTAATTAATAAGCTCTATCTCTGTCTTTTTGAGATGTATGTAAATCTTCTTTTATTTTTTTATTTTTACAGTAAATGCTCCTCAAGTAGAAATAAATGTTTTCAAAAGCTAAATAAGGCCAGGCAAGGTGGGTAATCCCAGCACTTCGGGAGGCTAAGTGGGTAGATCACCTGATGTCAGGAGTTCAGCCTGGCCAACATGAGGAAACCTTGTCTCTACTAAAAATATAAAAATTAGCCAGGCGTGGTGGCACACACCTGTAATTGCAGCTACTCGGGAGGCTGAGGCAGAATAATCACTGGAACCTGGGAGGTAGAGGTTGTAGTCAGCCAAGACTGGGACAGAGTGAGACTCTGTCTCAAAAAAAAAAAAATGCAGCAAAATAAGCCTCTGCCAGGGTCACAACTCAGAATTGTCTTTCCCACGGTCCTGGGGGTCATTTCTTTGAAATTTAAACATTAAGGAAGATGCCGTCCCTACTTCCCAGTCTCCTCAGGAGGGTAGGGGCCTAACCAGCAGGCACCTGGCTCCAAATCACAAACCTATCTCCTGTCATAAAAATACGAGAAGTTTATTTTTCCTGTGGATAAAGGCAATTAGCTAACACAGACGGTCACGCCAATTACCAGGTGAATTTAGGACGACCTGCGTGTGACAAATGTTGCTTTCCAGTCCTCTTGCTGGAGGCTGGTTGCTGTTCATCCTGAGAGCATGTCTGAGTGAGCCACACCTGCCTGGCTCTAGCAGGCAGAGATGCTGGTCTTTGATCTCTCAGGTGATTGCCTGTGATACACATCGCATTCCGGTTTTTTTAAAAGCTTTTTTTCTCTTCTACCTTTGCAAACAGCTTCTCTGCGTTGGCAAGAGATTTTGTTTTCAATTCTATTTCCCCAACAGGGGTCTGTAAGCACGCCTACTATGGTTTCTTACAGACACTCTAACCTGGTTGTGGTGCAGAGAAAATGTGAGCAGTGGAGGAGGTGGTGCAGGGGGGCCCTCGTGGGGCTCTGATAGGTGCTGGGGGGTTCTCCCTCCACGCCACCCTCCTCCCTCTGCGCCACTCTGTGAGCTTCTGCATGCCACACCTTGGGAAACCTCTCACCAACTGGACTTAACGTCTACCTAAAAAGGCACAGAGGGGCTGGCGGACAGAGAAGCCACCTTGATGAAGGGAACTCAGACTGAGGGGGGCAGAACCCGGGCCAGAAATCCAGGAGGACAGAGGGATGGGCCTGGGTTTATACAATGTGAGACCCCCAAGCCAAATCAAAGACAGTCCTACTGCACCCACCCTGCCTCCCAAGAAGTATTAGGACCTAACAGCCACCCCGCAGTAGCAGGGCTTCCACTGTCTTGTCTCGGGCCACACCAGGGCTCGAGGGGAAGCAGCCTGTGGTTTATATAAGAACAGAGGCAGAGATGGAAGGAAGAGGACCCCTGAAGGCCCAAGAGGAAGGAGTGAGAAATTCAAGGGGGAGACACAGAGGACAGCAGTAAGGGGAAGCCAAGTCTTTGGGGACTTGCCGCTACTGGTGTGCTCAGGTGGGCTATGTCTGGGAAACGGCACAGCAGGTTTCCTACAGACAAAATCCAGGAAAGCCCTCCACGTGACACATTCCAGCCTGGCCCACCCTAAGCTTCTCTCCTATTCTGCCTCTCACTCTGCTCTGCTCATGGCAGTCCCCTCCTAACCCAACATCCCAACATGTCCTCAGCCACCTGGAGACACCCAAGTGAGCGGGCTGCCCAGCAAAGCGCCCTGGCCAGAAGACAGGTGTCAAGGGGCAGATGTGCCATCTGCCACCAGTGCCCACATTGAGTCTTGGAAGGCCACTTCGTTCATCGTACAAGAAGGCCCCTGACCCCTACTGGACCACCTTTCCTCTCCGCAGTCCCTCAGGCTCTGAGGGGAACAGGACACACAGAGGTCCCCTTTCCACGCCTGGCTCTGGCCCGGCCCTCCCCGCACGGGGTCAGGCTGCAGTTCAGTAAGGCCCCCGTGGGCAGGCCTCAGCCTGTGCCCAGCTGCCATGACAACTGCGGACCAACCGCACAAAGAGGGGATTGAGCTAGCAGCAGGTGGAGAGGCCGGGGCAGGGGAAGGCAACAAAGGAGCTTTGCTTGTGGCAGAAACTTGGGGGTGGGGAGGCCAGACAGCAGCTGGGGCAGGAGGAAGGCCACAAGCCAGAAAGAGGCACCTCAGGGACCTGTCCTGCTCTCCATGTCAGGAGAGGTCCTCCCCATCTCCACCCTGGAACCTCCCACCAGCCCAGCACAGCTATCAAAGACCCAGCACCCCAGGTCGGACAGTCAGCAGACATCACCTGCCGCAGATATCACCTGCTGCCGATATCACCTGCTGCCAGTGGAGTGGAAGCAGGATCTGCCACCAGGCACTAAGGCTTTCAGGGTTGGGGGCAGCTCCCCAAACCCCAGCCAAAGGCCCAGCATCAGGCCCTCTCAGCCCTGAGGTCCCAGCAGGTCCTCACTTGCTGGGCACTGCTCAGCTGCTCTTCTGTAGGAGAACTCCGCAGAAACTGGGCTCCCCAGGCCTGGCCCATGCCCAGCCAATGCCTCCCTGCCCATGCTGCCCTTCTCTACAGCGTCATCCTTCCCAACTCCACCTGGTCCCCAGAGCCATCCTGCCCTCTCCCCTGGCCCACACCTGACTGCTATGTCCTCAACTAGTTCTGTCTCCCTATGAGACCCCTCATTCGGGTTAGCCCCAGGGAGCAGGGACTTGCTCCTATGCCTGCCCACCCCTCACAGGCAGAAGGTGTGTAATGTGCATTGAATGACTGAGTGAATGAAACAATGGAGGACTCAAGAGGTGGCTCCTCAGGCTCCAGTCTTCTGTCACTATCAACAAATCCCTCAGGACCAGCCAGTGGTATTCTCTGCCTCTGATTTCAGTTAATAGCAGTAGATGTTTTTAAATTAAATATATGATCATAGGGACATGAGAAAGTGATGTAAACACTAAAACCACACACAAACACACCCAGACACAATCATATCGAAATACAGCTAAGTAAACAAAAGTTCAAAGACACAAAATTACATGAGAACACCTGCAAAACTGTCTATGCAAATACAAATAATGTGAGATAGTTTTTTAAACTCACAGACACACCTACAGATCCACAGGCACACAAATGTGCCACTGTGAACCAGGTCAGCACAAATCACTGCACAGCACACTTAGGAACACAGAAACACAAAGCCACCCATGACACAAGTATCCTTGCACACCCATGGCCATCCCATCGGGACCACTTGCTCCAAGGGAAAGAACTCAGAGAGGTAGAAACAGAAGCAGCATACCCTCATCGAGCCAGGAAGCTGGGGGCCATGAGTCACTGTTGGATGACCTACACTGGGGTGACATAGGTCAGCAGGAGCTGCAGCTGGCTGGAGAGAAGGTAGAGCAAGACAGAAAGCCCTAGAAAGAAAATGAGCCTGTGTCCAGCAAGCCTGGTGCAGCCTGAGATCCTCCAGGGCCTGGCCTGTGCGCTCTGGCCCAAGGGGATGCAGTGGGCCTCTCCTCTTCAGCCAGCTTTGGGTGACCCTGGGCCGACACCTGGCTGGCTCCTTGCTCTAGTCTCCCCCTAGAAGCCTACTGCCCGAGGCTGGCAAGGATGTCCTTCTCAAGGCCACCCTTCCTGGTCCCTCCCCTCAGGACCCTGTGTCTTAATCAGGAGCCCCAAGTCCCAGCCCACCTGTCACTCACCCACTGCTACTCCCTGGCTAGGCTCTCTAGCACTTTGGGCTCAGGTTCCTGATGGCGCAGGTGAACGGCTACCTGCTCCCCGGGTTTGGAAGCACCACCGGTGGCAAGCCTAAGCCCGATGTGCCAGGCATTGTCTGTATAAGCCTCTGCCAGTGGCCCTGCTGCTGCTCACTCTTCCTAAACCATCACTCCTTCCAGCCACTTGGGAATCTCAGAGGCCCCCAGCGCCACATGGGAGCCTCCACACTCCACCTCGCAGGAGAAGTAGGGTTTGCCATGGCTCTGGTTGTGGCACTGTCTGCAGAGGCCTCCACTTACCAGTGCAGTTCTGCCTGCCCCTCCCAGAGCTCCCAGCCCAGACCAGGTGGGCATCCTCTCCCGGACCTGGAGGCCTCCATCCCTACACCCAGCATCAGGCACCCTGCACCCTCCCACAACGCCCCGTTCCGACCCCATGACCCACCCTATTCCTCTCCAACTTCCCAGATCCCCCTCAGCACAAGACCACCCCTACTGTGACCTGTCTCCCAGCCCTGACCCTTCCCCTCTTCCTAGCCACCATCTTCAGACCTCAGTCTCCCAAACACCCCAGTCCTCAATCTGGGGAGGGGGCAGAGGAGGGGAGGCAGGGGTAAGGGCAGGACACTGGCCCACCCAAAGAGCAGGCCACAGTGGAAAAAGCTGTTGAGAGGCCCCAGACAGGGACTGGATTGGGTTTGCTTCTGGTTAGCCACTTGATCCCAGGCAAACCACTTTCCTTCTCTGGGCCTCAGTTACCCCACCTGCAAATGGAAATAACACTTGCGCGTGGTATAGAATTGTTATATCGAGGGGTGGGGACAAGAACCATGTAAGAGGACTCTGAGAGACAATCCCAAAACGCAAGACAAACTCTATTTAGGTCACTGCTGTTGCCATCACCTGCTCCCCACTCAGGGTTATGAGAACTGTACTTCGGGGGATGAAGAGCCAGCCCAGTTGCAAGGCTTCAGTTTGCCCCCACCAACATTCCCAGACCTGATCCGAATCCAGCCAGGTCACTTGCCTAACCTCCCAAAGGTCCCCAATTCCACCCCAGCCATGATCCTGAGGTACCTCCTTCCAAGACTTCCTTCACTGGCCAGAGGTGCACACCCGTGCTGGAACTGTCCACCCGCACCTCCCATGCCGCATACCCATGGCCCCCTCCTTGAAGCCTCTGCTTACCCACCTTCAGAGGCGAGAGCTGGCCTCGGCCCGAAGTCTAACACTCAGGAGCCTGTCAGGGCCCAGATCTGAGCTGATGGCCGAGGACACACCCAGCTACTAACAATCTTTAATCAGGTGTCACATTTTAATTAATAAACACTTTTCCATCCCTTGCTGCCTTCAAAGGACCTTGGGAAAGGAAAATGAGGTGGAGCAGGGACCCCTTCAGGGACCTGCCACACCCTCCGAATCATGAAAATAAAGGAAAATCTTGAGTTCTCTCCAGGGAAATTCCAGGCACCTAGCTGGTCCTGAGAAGTAAAAGAACAACCTGATAAGGCAATCATAGCAAAAACAGCAAGGAAGTTAGACCATAGGAGACGTGTGGTTGCCTATAGAAACTAAAGATAACATCTCAGCATACGTCCCTGAGTTGTTTTTCAGAAACCCAGATCCCCACCAAATGGACGTGCTGGCACACAGACCTCAGATAAGGGGGAACTGAGAACTCAGCTCTGCTGATCGCTCCCCACTGCACCCTGACACGCCCCATCCTCTCACAGCTCCTGAAGGTGCCATGTTCTGGCACCCTGTGACCAATCTTGGAAGACCCTTGCTCAACTCTCCCCTTCCCAGCCCAGATCAGGGATCGCTTTGACCAGGAAGCCTTTTTGGACACACCAGGCTCGGTCAGGAGCCTCTTCTCTGTTTCACCTGTGCACCCAGGACCATCGACATGGAATCATCAGCAGCAGCAATATTTTGTCTGTCTGCAACAACAAGACTACATGCATCTTAACACAGGCTCCTTCTCTCTCCCCTGCACCCAGTACAGGCCCCACACACATCTTCCTGGAGAGTTCTCCATCACACCCTACACGCACGCACTTCGAACTGCGGTGCTTCCCTCTCACTCACCTCCATCCCCAACCCTTATCCCGGCTCGTTTAATCACACATTTATTGAGCACCTACTATGTGTCTGTCACTCTGCAGCGAGCACTGGGGTTCCTGCCCCCAGAAGCTGATCTATCAGGGAGGCTGACAGGGACAGGGAACTCGGAACAACGGGACAGCCCAGGAGGGGCCGCGCGCGGGCGACCCTCTGTTTGTCACCGCGTCCTCCCTCTGTCCTCACAAGCCTCCCTCCTGACCTCGCTGCCTTGGCCTGGGGCCCTCCCCACCCGCGGCCGCGCCCCCTTCCCCTCCACTGTGTGGGGGTAGGGGGAACGCTTGAGACCCGGGGCTCGGGGGTAGCGAGGGCTCGAAGGGGGCGCGCGGGGCTCAGGGCAGCCCAGGACCCCCGCCCCATCCCTCTGCCCCAGCCCGGGCTGGGCGGAGGCAGCACGGGAGGAGCGGGGCCGGGCGCTGGTCCTTCCCTCGCACCGCCCTTCCCCGCCCAAAATGCAGAGGGACTCCGAGGGAGGCGACGGGGAAATAAATACCTTTGACTTTGTGGCTAAGGTTAACGGGAACTGCCACCCCGAGGGCGACTTGGGCACCGGGCTCTAGGCCCTGGCCATTCCCGGGGCAGGCGGGGCGGGCACGAGCGTCTGATTGGCTGGCGGGCCTGGCCATCCGTGGGGCCGCCCAGTCACCCCATTGGCTGCGCCGCTCAGATGACCCGCCCGGCCCTATCGGAGCAGCCCGCGGGGCGGCCCCTTTGTTCTCTGGAGCCAATAGCCGAGGGAGGAGGGCTGACCTCACCCCCGAGGGCGAGCAAGGCCTGGCCTGGGGGTACGCGCTCGCAGCCGGCCGCAGGGCCGGTGGGAGGAGACCTGGCGAGTCAAGGCCCCGGATGGCCGATGGGGTCCCGGCACCCCTGCCAGGCCCGCGCGCCCGTTGTTACGCCTGCACTAAGCGCAAGCTCGCCGAGCGCCACAGCGCGCCGGGGGCTGTTTCTCCCTGCTGCGGACCCATCAGGGCCCCGACAGAAACCCCGGCTGAGTCTGTGGCTGCCCTCAAGCCGCGACAGCCCCACCGTGGGATGCGATAACTTTTAGGGTTCACTGCGAGGGACCTTAGAAATCGCTACACTCGACCTCTTCGTTTTCTGTTTCGGGGAGGGGAGTCTCGCTCTGTCCCCAGTGGCTTAGTGCAGCCTCGAACCCCTAGCTCAAGCAATCCTCCTGCCCAGCTAACTTTTTTAATTTTTTGTAGAGACTGGGGTCTCGCTGTGTTGTCAGGCTGGTCTCAAACTCTTGAGCTTAAGTGACCCTTCCGCCTCGGGCCTCCCAAAGTGTTGGGATTACAGGCCCGTGCCCGGCCCAATCGCTTTGTTTTCTAGCTGAGGAACCGCTGTGAGGTTGTGTTACTAGGTCGGGTTACTAGGTAGGGCTTCCAGGAGCGGAATCATCCCCGTCCAGCTGCTAACCCGGTCCAGACTGCCAAGAAGAGACCTTCAGGAAGGAGTATCTTCTCAACTACCCACCCCGATTGTTAAGGAAATGCCTTACGCTTCTCCCTCCAAGGGGGCGCAGCTGGGTCAACTCCCACTGGCAGGATCCTCTCCAGAGCTGCTGGAAGCTGCGTTTGGGACATGAGGAAGATACAGACAGAAGATGGGCCTCTGGGACTTTCTACAAACCGTTGCCGTTTGGCAGGTGGACCTTATTTTCTCCCATCAACAGCTGATTAAACATTTGCCACAGGCCCACCTGCGATTTGGCCTGAGTAGCACAGCAGGAACCGGGGACTGAGATTCTATTTTGTCACTGACTTCATGTGTACTCTTTATAAAAGATACTTTTCTGTTTCTGGACTTTGACTTACTCATCTATAAAACAGGGTTAATAATTTTCTAGTTGCCTGCATACCTTACTGAGTTGTTACCGTTAATTTGGTTATATTATCTATAGAAGGATTGGTAAAATACAAAATCATACACACCCTATAAAGAGACTACACATCACTAGCTATCAACACTTTAGAGTCTCATTCTCTTCTTTATTTTTTTTAGTCACCCATTCAATGCACGAAAATAAAGAAACATTTGAGTCCCTTCAAGGGGAATTCCAGGCACCTAGCAAGCCCTGCAACCAGCAATTAGGGAAGTGAATGTATGACCTGCTAAGCAAGAAAGTAATAATAGCTTAAACAATAGTCCCCAAATAAGAGTCACCAATGTTAGCTTCCTCACAGAAACTGAAGGTAACCTCTTGACAAATGTCCTTGAGTTGTTTTTCAGAAATCAGGACCCCCACCAGTGGGCATCACTTCCACTCTCTGGGCCTGTTTCCTCCTTACAGGGGAGACTTCCTCCAGACTGGCATCCCATGACCAAGGGTATTTCCGAGGTAGAAAAAATGGAGAACCTCTGGGATCCTATCCATTAAGCAAAAAGGGAGGTAGGGCAGGGAGGCTGCATATGCATGTTTTCAAATACACAGGAAAAAATGTTAGAATACTACTCAAACTCTTCACAGTGTAAGCAGAAAGGATTTGGGGGGTGGGATGGGGAATGAAGGGGGACTTTCACATTAAATAGATCTGAATTATTTACTTTTAAAGATAATTTAATACTTTTGTAATTACAGAAGAAAACAAAAACTGGATTCTTCAGAAGAGAAGGGCAGCTCCTTCCAGCAGACCCCTCCAACCCAGGCAGTCCTCCCCAGGGACTGCTGTGGCGATGAACCAGGCAGAGCAAAGGCCCAAGAACCACTGGGCCACCCACCAAGAGACTCGGGAAGGAACCCGAACAAGTTCACTCTGTTCCTGCTTTACCAGCCCTCTCAAGGCTACTCGTGTGACCTTTCTGTCCTTCGGACCTCTTTCCCATCCCCTCAACAAGCAGTGGGCAGTTGAAACACTGAGGACACCCACACCCCACTCTCCCCATACCCTAGACTATTTCCTTTAAAGAGGATTTTCCAAAAGGTAAGGACCCCTGGTCAGATCCGCTCTCACCCTCATCCTTGCCTCCAGTGCCTCTGATACTAACCTAGGTGCCCACCCAAGGACCTGCCCCTGCTCCCTGACCATCATTCCCAGACATCCGGCTACCCTTTCCTGGCCATCTCCCCTTCCCTGGAAAACCTGTGTTCCCTCTAAGAGAAAAAATGTGACTGGGGCTTTAAGACCACGCCCTCTGCTTCCACGCTTTGACAGATAATTTGCCATCAATAACACAGGTTTTTAAGTGGCCCCATAACCCCATAAACCAAAAGGAAGCTTGGAAGCTGTTCTTTCCATCCCACACACTTTAAGCCCTACCCACACAGTCAGCATTTAATAGTTTCTTAACCAAGAACAGCAGCACACAGCATTCATCTACTAAGCACACAGCAGTCGCCAAGAGCACAGGTTTCAGGAGTTTGGATTTGAATCTATCTCTGGTGATCGCCAGTTACATGACCGTGCCTCCCGCACAAGGACACATGAGATAATTTAGGTAAATTTCATCAGGTGCCATGCATGTAAACAAATTGTGCTTATTCTATGTGCTCTGTGCTAAATACTGCAGATATATGCAGAAATTACTAAGCAGCAAGAAAAGAGCTTATTCATGCCTGGTAAAAATAGGCACTCAAATTTATATGAAACCACCAATTCAGGGGCGTGTACATAGTGACTGCTCACAGAGACTGGGGGTCCTGTAGGAAGCCAGCCAGGAGGCACTGCAGGACAGAATCAACTCAGCACCCCTTTCCTGCCTAGTAAATGGCACCTGAAAATTCTGATATGACTCTGAGATGGAGCAGAGACCCCTCAGGAGCCTGCTGGGTTCTGCCGCCACTTGAAAAGCATGAGAATAAACAAAAATGTGAGTCCCTTCAAGGGAAATTCTAGGCACCTAGCTAGCTCAACCAGCAATTGGGGATATCAGTGAATAACTGCTAAGCAAGAAATAATAGCTTAAACAACAGTCACTCAAGTAAGAGTCACAGAATGTTAGCTTCTGCATAGAAACTAAAGATAACATCTTGACCTATGTCCTTGTTTTTCAGAAGCCAGGACCCCCACCAGATGGGCAATGCCAGCACGTAGACCTCAGACAGACTGGAACCAGAAAATGAATAAGGAAGTTCCAGAAATTCCTCAGCCCCTAACTCACTTTGAAACAACCCCACCCCCACCCCACCCCCACCCCCACCCCCACCCCCACCCCCACCCCTGCCCACCCATCTTGGCACCTTTCCTGTGGCTCTGACCCCCTTCC